AAGGTGAGCCATATCTGTTACATGAATATAGGCTCTGTAAATCTCTAGGTGAGTGTCTGCAAGTAGGCCCTAATGTACTACCACTGTCATTTTTACCAGTAAACTGGAAGGCTTGACACCTAACCGCGTTGTTCCACACCCCCTACCCAGATTCACCAAGTATTCATCTTTTCGCAAATAGATACATTTCCAAATATTTCTCAAAAACAGATACATTTCCAATGAAATGAATGTAATGCAATGTCCAATGCAACAAATGAGGAATGTAGTTCAATTTACCTAAGTCTCATGCATTTCTACAACAATCATGGCTATCCTCCACCGATAGCCTAAACAGATATTTCTAAATAGATATTTAAACAATTAAATTTCAAAAAATTCTGATAAATACAATCTATTCCACATCTCATCAAATATAAACGACTACACTAGTTTTCATATCACAATCACGTCCGGTAACCTCTCAAGGTCCATTTCTAACCGTGTCGGTTTTATTCCAACAGATACATTAAGCAAAATAATACCGTTGATGTCAAAGAAAACATCATTTTCTTTCCAAACTTGTTCTCGAAGCATTATGCAACTATGACATCCTATTTTGATCAAAAACCCCAAAAGTTAAACATAATTCCTTTATTTTCTTTAAAAATGCTCTTTTGGTCGCAAATCGGTAAAAATTTCAAAACCAATCGAATCGAAATTCGTTTTTGTTCAAATTTAAAATATAGCTATTTCATAACCTTACAAACATATTCCAAGTTTACACTTTCGTAATTTGGGCATCAACTCTTTATTTTTCTCAAAATTTCTCTTTTAAGCAAATAAATCACAAATTTTTCAAAAATTCTAATTAAATTATATACAGCTCTAAACTTCATATAATCAAGTAAAAGTGCATAAAGAAGTGTAGGAAAAATTCCTACCTCAAGCCAAGAAGCTTTCAAATTTTTCGGTAACATAAATTAAATTTTCTTGGAGTCAAACGACGCATTTTCCGCCTTCTACGTTTTGATCCAAAGCACGAGGGGTCAAAAATAACTTACACTAGATCAAACTCATGAAAAACCAACTTAGAATTCTTTTTCTTTCTTTTCTCCACAGCAAAAATTAGGAAAGAACACCCAAAGTATAAAAAAATATCTATTAAGTTCTATTTATAGATATTTCCTTTTCTTTGACTAAACAAATATATAACTATACAAATATCTAACCATATATATATATATACACCTATATATATATATATACACCTATATATATATGTATATCTCAATTTAAAAATACTTTTCAACATCTTTAATAAAAAAGTAAATATAATATTTTTTCACCACAAAATATATTTCGTTTAATGGTATACACCATAAATATTCACAACTCTTTTATGGTAATCAAATAATAATAATAAAATTACAACAATATTTCAACAATATTTCATAGTTACTAACGGGTCACGATTCAACCAGTTGGGTCCAAAATGAATTTATTTTAATTTAAAATAAATTCTCAACTGAAATTAAAGTGTAAATTCAATTTGATTCAACTCGTTATAGATCTGCTTTTGCACTTCTAGAAATTCTACCTTTGGGATATAAGAACACAAAGGCGAAAAAAACAAAAAAAATTGACGCTAAAATAACGTCATTTTGACACCTTAAACCATTTGAGTCTTAATTAATTCGTACTACTTAACGAGATTGTAAAAAGAATGCATGCATATATGATCGGGTCAGGCCTAAACATTCCTGTTTTTTAATTTTGCAATATGCGCCGAACAAAAAAAGTGGGGACCTATAATTTTGGCGGCCCAATCACTTACCTATGTTCTTTGCAACACAATCCAAATATTTTGGCAAGACCTAACCAGTTTTTTTATGTGATTCATAAAAATCAAATATAAAATCGAACATAAAAATCAATTAATGACAAAATTTTTGACAGGAGGATTTCACCAACAAATCTTATAAAACGTGTCAAGTTTTATGTTCTTAATATTGTTGTTTTGGTTGAGTTTAAACTTACTTTAAATCGTCATTATTGCTTTGCTGGTATAATATGACCCCTTTAAAACTTTTCGAATAGTTAGGTAAAAGTCTTGTTATTGGTAAGAAAATAACAAGAGTCTCAAAATTACGATTTTCAATGGTAATGTAAAACTTTTGTTATAATTTATTGTTGCTATTCTTTATGTTATATTTGACACAAAAAATAGTTATAGGTAAAATTGCTTGCTAATGACATAGAGAAAGTGATAATAATGAGTGATTTTGATTAAAGATAGTAAATTACAATTCATTTGTTGTGATCAAATTAAGAAAATATAACAAAGACATCCTTAAAATAGCATTATTAAATTATAACAATTTATCACTATTTATTATTAAAATATAGCAATAGCTAAAAAGCTTGGCAAGTGAATGGGGGGAGATGTTTAAGTGCAACTTGTCGGGTTACTTAATAGTCTATTTTTATTATTTATATTAAATTTTTTTTATTAGAGTATTTCATGCACTTTTTACTTATAATTTATGAGACATAAATAATTTAAATAAATTAAAAAAATTAATTATAAAAAAGCTGAGAAATAAGCAATTTAACTTGTACTATTTGAATATCAATTTTTAAATTGAGAAAAATTATATCAAAAAAGTCATAAGAAGAGAATAGGATGGGTTATGGTTAAATCCCTCTTGCTATTCCGTTGACTTATTAATAAATATTTTTTTTTGGTAACTCATTAAAATTTACTCTAACTTAGATCTAAGGCTATATTTGAATGATGAGAATTTTTAGAGGGATTGAGAATGTCATTAAAATTTACTCTAACTTAGATCTAAGGCTATATTTGAATGATAAGAATTTTGAAAGGGATTGAGAATGTCATCACTAACAATAATGAAGTTACTAAAAATAAAATTTTTGTATTAATGTTATTGAAGCATTTGATTTCATTAAGAATACTCAATGAAAAAAGTAAAAATAAAACTAGAATTATTGTGGAACCAATTGTTATTTTTTTACCCCTAAATGGTTAATATTTCTCTAGGAATGTAAGATTTCAATGGGAGAGTAGGTGAATTAGATTCTTACTTAATTTAAGAATGTAATTCTTGTTAAAATAGATAATAAGAAATTACTTTTCTATTTCAATTTGTTTCAAACAATGGATTCACAAGATCTAGAATCACATTTTTATTCCACTAAAAATTATTGTTATAGCCTAAAAAAAATCACCCTTTGACTTTTACCTTATTATCAGTATTAATAATAATTTTTTCTCAGTCCGTTGACTTTCTAATATTTAAGAAAGAAAAATAACTTTATTTGGAAGAAAAATAAAAGGCAGCAAATTGAGACTCATCAGATAAAGCCTATGAAATGAGGGGGTCCGAAATGAGCCCAATGGATTAACCCCACATTTATTATTCGGTAATGGTAGGTGCCTCAAAAATTTATGACTCAAATAGTTTGAATGTATCAAAACGACGTCGTTTTAAAACGACGTCGTTTTGATACATCAAAGCCATTTGAACTATATAAATTCGGACTATTTTTCTTTATTATTAGATTGCCTAACAATAAGGTGTATATCTCATGAATAAATTAAATTAAATTATATTGTCACACTTGTACATTGAACATCATCCTGAATTTTTATTTCACGCCACGTATATAGCATGAGACTATTAATTAATGTTCTATTATCACCATCTTCCCAACACAATTTCCCACTCTCATTAATGTGGGATAAGTTCCCCATCACATATTTTATCTCTTCATATTTTTTTATGAATTTTTTTATTCAGATACACATAATCTAAATTATATAGAGCTCTTAGTAAAAGTTATTCATGAAAAAATATAACTTTATTAGATAATTATAAACACAAAAGTAAATCACATTTTATTTTATAAAATAGGTAAATAAAATTTGTCATTTATTTTATAAAACAAAATGTGATTTGTTCCTGTATTTATAAATGTTCGATGAAATTAAATTTTTTCATAGATGACTTTTATTGTACGATTTACGAGATAGACAGTTCGGATCATTAATGTGAGACTAAATTGGAACCCATAAGAAAAGTATAAATAAGTATAGAAAGATGAAAGTATGAAAGGGAGTTCATCCCAATTAATGTTTACCTCAAATTTGATTTAATTAATTACAAGAAAATTATAATAATTAATTAATTAGAGTTATTTTGGGAAATGCTAAAAAAAGGTTATTTTTTTGTTTATTATGAGCAAATGTGCAAAAAATAGAGAGGTGATATAACTCAAATAAGTCAATAAGCTAATAAGCTAGCTTGTAACTGATGTGGCCAATGTGTATCAATTAATTTCAAATTAAAAGATCGACAAAAAGAAAAATTATTAGGTGGTACAAGATACATGACCCCAATAATCACCAAATGCCTTGTTAAAAAAAAAAAAAAAAACAATCACCAAATGCCAAGTCCTTTACTATAAGTCCACCACAAAGTTGTGGATCCATTCTCTTTCATTAATTACAACATTTTTGAAATATAACGGAATCATGTACTAGAATTTTCACTAAAATAACTATAATTTTTACAATATTGTTACATCTACTGAATTTATTTAGCCTGAATTTGCCTGAATGAATTTGTTTATGAGAAGAGATTTATTCAGACGAATTGAACAAAACAAATTTAATGGATCAATCGTTAATCTAATTTTTATAATATTACAATCATGTTATTCTTATGAGATTTTTTCGATATAAAATTTTTAAAATTCATTTTTTGGTAGGTGTAATTTAAGGAGCTGCCCACTCCCCCCGGCGCAATGGATAAACCTCAGTAAATTTGCCATATTTAATAATAACAATAATAATAAAGACATATATAAGGTCAACCCATCCACCATAAAATCCAAAACAAATCTATCTATTTATTGCCCATTCTCACTCTCAACCTCTGCTCTTTATCACACACTCTTTTCTTTGTCTGAAACAAAACAACAATAAGATGTCTCAGAAAGTGAGTCGCCACCAAAGGAGGGCCTCCCTGTGCTCCTTCGTCCTCCCCGACAACCTCTCTGCTCCGCCGCCGGACAATCTGGCTGTTGCTCCCCCTCCAAATGAGTGTCGTGCCACTCTGTCACCGCCACCACCACCGCCACTGCAGGCCCAGCCATTGGCAGAGGTTTCAGAGGAGGGGTCAAAAGGTATGGAAGATAAGAAGTCGTCAAAGAGCGCGATATGAAAAACAGTTGTTTTACATGCACAAAATCACATAATAAAAAGTAGAACTCATGTTTAATGAGTCCCGTCTCATGTGAGAGAATTGATTATGTGCCGTAACAATTATTCAATAAAAAAGTAATTTCTTTTTCCTCCTTTTTCTTTTTCATTATTATTGTTAGATTGTATTGAATGTCTCTAGTGAAAATATGAGATCTTCAACTAGCTAGCTAGTTGGCTAATAATAATAATACATTTCATTCAAACTCTGGTGCATGTTAGATGTTGTTTTGATTTTGTTAGAACAGAGCTGCTGTGAAATCTATCACATAATTAGATATAGAATATATATGAATGGATTTGATTTTATAGAGGTAACAAAATTTATGTAGATGTACAAATTTTTATAAAATCTGATTTGTGACTATATTTATAAACTCAATTTAGAAGTGAATCCCAGACCCATTTATCATTAACCCTTTTTCAGGGTTCGTCAATCAATGTTTTCCATGGCTACGTGTTCGATATCAGAACATTAGACATTATTCAATATTTCTGAAACAAGTCTAGATAATGCTCCATACTGATATATATATATATATATATATTTTTTTTTTGGTATCACTTCAAACCCAATCCAAACTCAACCCATATTTCATAAAAAGTCAAAAAGTGCACTTATTTAGATCATCCCAAACAACCCCTCAATTTAAAAGTGAATCCCAGACCCATTTATCATTAACCCTTTTTCAGGGTTCCTCAATCAATGTTTTCCATGGCTACGTGTTCGATATCAGAACATTAGACATTATTCAATATTTCTGAAACAAGTCTAGATAATGCTCCATACTGATATATATATATATATATATATTTTTTTTTTGGTATTAGGGAATGGGGTCAAGAAGGGAGTCTCAAGGCTCAAATTTGAGTGCTGAGTTTGCAAATTATTAGGAGTTTGATATTTTTTAACTAAACCAATGTCTTTGTGAAAATGAATTTGTTTGGTATAAACAATAATGAATTTGTTTGGTATAAACGATACACATATTGTGATTGGTTCAAAATAATATATATTACATATTCAAAAAATGCATTAATCTCATTCAAAGTTATAAGTTCTATTATTTTAACTAATAAAAAATCATATTTAATTCACACATCTAAAATCTTTTAAAGTGCGAATAAAATTGAACACATCTATTTTTTTTTTTTGAACATGAAAAAAGGGCTCTGAGGTGTCATCATAGCCCCGTGGGCCCTGACTCCGGGGTAACCGGTTGCTAGTCAGGAATTAACCCCCACCATGTGAGGGACTCACCACTGGGCACCAGGGGAACTCAACTGTACGCCACAGGCCGCCGAGGGTTCGAACCGAAGTACAGAGGGAGGTCTCAAAGAGAACACTTCCACACTCCCCCAGAATTCGACCCTGAATCATGCCTATAAAGACGAGTTGCTTTCTCCGCTGGACCACCACCCCAGTGGTAACACATCTCTTTGATTAGTAAAATTGTGCATAGAGTGGGTATGGGCTCTATAAAGGAGTCAACATGACAACATGAGGATCTACAATGTAGTGGGTAGGCCAACTTAATAACTTTTACACAGAAAAATTGCCAAAGTTTTCTTATGGTAGAATCCATGCATAATAGCATTTCCCTGGGTATTTATTGCCCTTCCTTCATGCCAAAAAAGGGGGTAATAACTATGTATCCAAGAAAAATTGTAAGAATGTTTATAATATAGAGACACTAATGAGTAGCTTACCTTTATTTTGCAAGTGTAGTCACAATCACTGATTGATAGTTTAATTCAGCATTAAAATTAAAATAAAAGTAAAATTTAATTAAATTCGTTTGATACCTACAATTAGTATCATTTAAAATTTAAATAATTTTTAAAAAATATATTAAAAATTAAGAAAATTTTTAGTGATAAAACTTACTTGATGCTTAATAAATTTATAAATACTTATAAATAAATGTTGATATATATTGTTTTAACCTTATCACCACTACTACTATTGCTATCACTGTCATTTTCACCATAGAAAACACTATCATTTTAACACCGATATATTATTACAGTTGCTACTATCATTACCATCATCGTTTCACCACCACCACTACAACTACTGCAACTCTTCATCTCCACTACCGTTATTACCATTATCATAATTGCCACCATCATTTCACCACCGTCACACCCTTTTTATCTCTAATACATTATCCCTCTACCATCACCACAACTATTATTCCTCTACCTTTGCTGACGTTGCCATTGGAGCCATAGTTACTATCGTCACCACCTCACTATCACTATATAAAAATTAGAAGGTATAAATTGAATATAATAGATTTTAATTTTAATTTTATACATACCAAATAACTTATTTTAATTTACTACTTAATTTTTCGTCTTTTTAATTTTTAATTTTATCAAATGTCACCTTAAAATAAATATGAATCACACTACTATTTTTTTGCGTGCATGTGACATTATTAAAAAAGTGTCATCCTTATGGACTAGTAATAATAATCAGAATAATGTATTGGTGCAGCAGATCTAGCCACTTTCTTGGCTAAGTTAGTACTAATCAACATTAAGGTAACATAGCTGTGGGTCCACCCATAGCATATTTGGTGATGGTTTGAAAGAGCCGCTTGATAATCTGAGTGGTTTATTAATCTCCCTTAGTAGGAGGATTACCTCAGCTAAAAAAAAATGTGAGATTAAGAAAATAGTGAGTAGGTTGAGTCTATTCGGTCATCCGTCCAAACGTCTAGCCGGTTGACCGTAATAGTAATTTTTTTTTTTTTTAACAATTCCAAGTGCGCCTTTTTGTTTTAATATTTATTTTAATTTTTTTAATATAGAAATAATTTTTTAATTTATTTTATTTAAAAATAATTTAACAATCACATCATTAACTATCTTCCACACTATTATCAAAACAAACACACTTTTACTTATTCCCTTACTAATAATCCCCACATTAATAATTTTTTCATTAATAATCCCTTCTAACTTAATCCGTAAAATAAAAAATGGCCTAAGAGTTCAAATATAATAAAATTTTCCTTAACAAGACTAGTAAGACATATTTTATTATATATATGCACATAAATATATTGTATATGCAAATTTCACAGTTGAGCCAGACTGGCCCAAGACCAGCCGACATAATAATGGGCCAACAAAATTTGCTCATATCCCTCTTAGCAGCAACTCTAATGCAACTTTTTATTTCTTACTGGTTAGAGTATAAAAAAGCTAAACTCTTTATTTTATTCAATCATTTTTATTTATGTGTTTCAATTTTATTCTTTATTTTATCTATTTATTCATATAATTTTTTTAAAGAGTCTCCCATCAGTTTCCAAATATGGCTAATTTGTAAAAGTTTTGGAGGGTCTCTAAAAAAATCTAAAATTCTCGAAATATTAATTCGTGATTATATTTCAATTTACAATATGTGAACATCAATTCTAATCAAACAATCAACGACAAATTGGTATAATGATTTAATGTGAAAAAAATCATAACTGGAGCACTTCTAATTGTGATAAAAAATCATGGGCTAAAGCCTCAAAACAATCTACTAAGAAAATATAAAGGAATTAAATATAAGCAGTCTCAATTACCTAGCGAATCTAAGCCCGAATTGAACCAAACCCTATGTGCTTCTTCCGTCACCGTCTTCACTTCGGAACTGCTTTGCCCAACATTGAATCCACAACGCTGATGTTGAATCCACGACGATGAACCACTCTGAAATCCACCAAAACTTTAGGCCCAAGTTTCCCGGAATCTACCAAAGAATATCACTATCTTTATGTGAATAAAAGAACTAAATAGCCCTTGATATTTGACACTATGTAGTTAATTGATCAAACGATTACCTTTTATACATCAAGGAAACTCATATAAAAACATCCTTCAATGTAGAACACTTTGTATTTTACTTCTCTTTAAGAATTTGAATGGATTAAACCCTAAAAAATCAAACGATGCACTTTATAAAAAATAAAGTCGCACCGACTACTTCAGCCACCACTTGACTACACGAGCAGTGTGAGTAAAGGCAGTGCAAAACATATAGGCCAACCGCTCGAGCGGTGAAACAAATTTCTCAGAAGTTCAGTTTGCAGGCATAGATACTGGATGTACCATTTCACCGCTCGAGCGCACAAATGACCGCTCAAGCGATCAAACAACTTTGGCTTCTCGTACATAGTTAGCGAAGTGGTAAATAAGGAATGCTCAATATACGAAATATCTACACAAGCAAAATTCGGATTAGATTCGTATCTAAATACTCACAGCTTCATTGAAACAAAAGAACGAATAAAAATACAACTGAAAGAAGTTGTCAAACAAAATTACCAATTACAAAAACCTAACAGTCTCCACAATCCATTTGTAATGAGAGAGAAATTATTAAATGTTGTCAAAGGTTAAGTAGTGTTTTACATTACTCAAGAACAATATTGATTAGAGTTAGCTTGTTGACCATAACTTTATTTCAATAGAAGCTCAGGCATTTGAATCTCCCTATCAGTGTGTTAATTCATTTTTCATGTATATTTGTATTAATTATGCATTGTATTATTACATTTATAATTGGTTGAGTTTCATTATAATATCATACATTAATTTTTTTTAAACAAGATAAAACACACACTCAAGTGGATACTACTTCAAATGGGATTTGGACAGCACCCATGCTGTCACACTCAGTGAGATTTGTTTCAATTATATTTTGATAATTCGAGTCGTCATATTATAGGATTTGTTGATTATATCTTCCATATAAAAAATAAAGTTAATTGGATAAGTATAATCCCATGATCAAACTGAACAATAACCATAAGAATTTATCAAAATCATTTTGACCATTTATTTTTCATAAGCATAAACATGTCTTGTTATGGGTTATAGATGTCTAATTAATTTTAATTTTTTCATAAATGATTTACTCACCGAACCCTAATGATTTTTGTGATTTGTTCACCATGT